TTAACAAATCATATTAAATAATGTGATGACAGAACTGTAAACAGAATAGCTGAAACTTTAACAAAATAACTAATTCAGTTACCTCTAATCATTAACCTATGTTTTTATAACTGAGTTAACTCTGTGTGTTGCTGTTAGCATACATAACACCTGACGTGGAAAGGTTACTCTTGGACGGGGCTACAGAGCTACTAGAAAGACAGTCGAACCCGGTGCATTCCTCCGTCTGAATGTGGTGCACTTTTGCTAAATGTTTAGACAAATTGCTCGTTTTACCGCCTTTATATGATAAACTGTTATTGCACTTTTGGTAACGAGCATTGTCCACATCGAGACGGCTAAAGTTTAACCACACCTCGGAGCGCGTTCTCTCCGCCATCTCCTGCGTGTGTGTGTAAACTGCCCCGCCCCCTCGCAAGCAGGCGGGGGAGAGATCTCTCGTCTGAATTCGGAATATCGAAAATACATGATAGACGCATTTTGTAGTCATATTGCATATTAGAAACTGAGTTGGCAACACTAAGACTGCGATATAATGTTTATGTAGCAATAATACATAACATATGTTTTTAAATGTCTCCTGTACCGATACAAAAGAGCGATAACGTTGGAGCTTAAAGGGGTGTAGAACACATGTGATGACGTCACCAACGAATCGACGACTGAATTAGTTGCCAACTAATTTGGTAATCGATTTTAATCGATTAAGTCGATTAGTTGTTGCACCCCTAGCTACCAAGCAAGCATCCTCGACATTGAGAAGCACCCATGGAGATCGCTCTTCTGGAGTGAAGAGAGCGGGAAGTAATAAGACAAGACGGACACTTGGGGGAAAGTACCCTGCGGTTTGAATGTCCGATAGTCCACCGTTAACACCTTAGTCCCGTCTCGTCAACGAAAACTAAATATACATTTCGTCATAGTTTTTATTATCAAGAATCTATTTTTAGCTCGTCATCGTCTCGTCTTAGTCGTGTAGACAAGGTCGTTGACGAACATTTTTCGTCATAGTTTTCGTTGACGAAATTAACACTGAAAACAATAACACCTTCAATGGTGTCTAAATATCTCAAATCTATTTCTAAAACGCCTGTTAGTGGCAAGATTTTATAATTATTTTTGCATTAAATCGGTCGTGCATTAAAAAAAAAGGTTGGTATCTAACTTTCCTTAAGCTGTCAGAATCCAGATTGTTCGCCAATGCTCTCAAATCTTCAGAGCCTTTTATTGTGTGCCTAATTTTGCGAAGACAAGTCCGTCTTCACGTTCTCTTTTCCCAAACCCCGGAGCTTCAAACATGTCCCGGCCTTGTTCAGTTTGTTCTTGATTCTCGCAGCAGCTCTTCTCCCCTCGGGGCTTTTTGATTTTTTACGATTTCTCTCTCTGCGCTCTGAACCGCATTTCTCTGGAGGAGTTGGTGCAGCTTAATGAAGCGTCACTGATGCCGTCCTGCTATTGATTCTCCACTCCTCCTCAGTTTTAACTTGTCCAGGCCCATTGTGGCTCTGCGTCACCTCGGGTCAGTGGTTATTAGCGGACACAGTTTCAAAAAAACTACTCGGCGCGGGAGTGAATGAAAAGCAGGAGGAACTTGGAGGAGAGGGGATTACCGGTTGAATCTGAGGAGTGTGACTTGGTTCAGTAATGAGGGATTCTCCTTTTTCGGTTTTTCAACTTGTTCTTTATTAGTTAGTTTCTCACATTCCCCTTTACATCCAATAGTACTCCATTTTAGATTCTTTAACGAGGGGTCACAACATGGTTAAGGTCTCAAATCCTACAAATTAAACATGAGAATATGAGAAACTAAATGGATAGGAATCAATAATAACACGGGTATAACAAAATAAAATAACAGATGGGTTGTATATAAGTTTCTTTAACAAGGGGTCAGACATTCCCCTTTACATCCAATAGTACTCAACACTTAAATTCACCCTTAAATTCACCCTTAAATTCACCCTTAAATTACCACTCAATGCTTTAATCTTCACTTGTTTTGTATTAAAACTCTCAATATAGTAAAGATGCATTTTTAAATTGTCTTATAAGGTTTAATGTGTCTGGCCCTTAAAGGACTTTTTTCCACTTAAAATCGCCCTTAAATGTGACCTTAATTGGACGGGAATACCGAATTTAATTTGTAATAAAACTCACTATTTACTTTAAAATGATAACATCAGGTTTTATTCGCCTTTCAGGAATTATCTGAACCTTAAAGGAGTTTTTCTTACTTCAAATTTACGCTTAAATTTCACTTTAACATATTTAAAAAAATGTGATTTTTGAGATTTAAATGCGTGAATAGTTTCTTTAACTCACATGTTTGTCTCAAATCCTAAAAATTACACAACTACATGAGAAACTAAATGTATAGAAATCAAATGCTCCTTTTCACCATGCACTATTTTTTTTTTAAACAACCAGTAGAAATGTTTTGTTTTAAAATAACTTCCATGTGTGGAATAAACAAATAAATATACAAAATCAATAATAACACTGAGAACGTAAGTAACACAGGTATAACACAAATAAAATAAAATATGGGTTATATATATAAATAAGGTCATCCTACATTTTACAATAATACAGTCCGATACGCTTAGGAGAAATATCCATGTACCAGAACATTCAAAAATACAAATTCCTAATTTTAAAGAATAATTTCTGTTGCTTTTCACACATTGTGCCGCGGAGACTTTGAGCGCTCGATCCCACGGAAGAACTGCCTGGCTTTATCTTAGAGATGAAGGCGATCCGATTGGTTCGTTTCATATTCACCGCTTTCTTTGCAAAGTCATCTGAAGAGACGAGGCGGTTTGCACGTCCTCGAGAGCGAAGGCCTTTCGGTAAACGCTCGACGATGGGAGGTCACTTTTAAAGAAGAGGCCGAGGTCACGTTGCTTTTTCAGATCAAAAGGTCCTGAGGTTTTATGAGCTGGGAATGGGAGCTTATAGAATATGATGCAGATCAAACCGGGCGACGAGCACAACCTCACACGGCGCTGACACCGCTGAATACAATCTGAGGAATGTCCCCAAAGCATGTGTAAAGATTTTGGGGAAATGACGTGGAAATTGTCTGAAAACGTTCCAAACAGTCGGCTAGAAATTCCTCGTGGCATCTTAGTTCCTCAAGTGGAGAAATCAGCAAAGTGTTTTATTAATGAAAACACAAATCAGAGTCAAGCAGAGATTTGTAGAAGGAAGTCAGTCAGACGTTTCCTGACGTGGAAAAGTAACTCAGCTCAGTCTCAAGTTACTTTGAAGAGAGCGGCTAGTCTTTGTTTTATTCATCATTTTGCAGATGAGACGTCAGGAAAGACCAACCTGGCCTCTTAAACGGTCCTGATGTTTGACTGCTAGTCCGACAGCTCACCAATATTTAGTTTGAATAAATACAAAACTGAGAAAAAGCTGTAAAATCTGACTTTAGACTTTCTCTTGAGAATCTCCTGAAAGGAAATCATTTCTGTGAACAAATGATTTCCTTTTCACTCTTTTTATTTTTACGTCTGCCTGACTTTCAACTCCAGTCCATCGCTCTGCGGCCCCTCTCAACAATAGAAAATATGCACGTTTACTTTAGTAGTGTTTCTGGATTGAATGGCGTGAATTGCATAAAATATGACTCAAGTGTTTAACAGATGCTTCCTTCACTTCCCGAGGTCTTTACCTCCTCTCCAGACTGAATATCTTTTGATGTGAGACCTTGTCAGGAGTGTTAACAGGTGTGTGTGTGTGTGTGTAGGCAGCAGCAGCAGCAGCAGCAGCAGTACGGTAGCGGCGGCGGGGGTCAGGGCTGGAATCGAGCCACGCAGGCTCAGGGCTCGGCGTACCAGCAGAACCAGAGCCGCGGGGGGGCGGCTCCTCCTCCTCAGCCGCCGGGAGGATACCAGCAGGGGTTCAACGACCGCAGAGACAACCGGGGACAACACCACCAGGTACACACGCTGAGAATAACACCCATTGGATTCCACTTACTCTGTTAGTCGTGTGTTTAGAAGGTCATGAGCGAGACTTTGTAATAAAACCGCTTCAAACTACTTTCGTGGCTGTTTTTAAAAGTCTTTAGAGGCACTGACGTTATCCGTTGTAAAATGATCTCTTTTTAAAGTAGTTTTTTTATTTCATTGTAATTAAGGAAATCGTGCGGGACGTGCCCAAAAACTAAATATGTTTCTGAGATATCAACTTTCTCCTCATCCTATAACGCGCATAAAACTCTTTCTAATCCAGTTTGATTTCAATGAACTCCAGAGAAGTTGTTTTAAAAACGTTGCGTTAATATGCCCGGTAAATGGTACGGAAGGATCAGGGCCCCAGGCGAACACTCTTCTTTTAGGTCTGACCAAAAGTGACGTTTTGTTTTTTTTCAATTAAGAGTTGTACTGAAAATAAAAAAACGTATTTATTAGGATTCTGAGAGTTTTATTGATAATTTAGTTTTTTTTGGATAATTTAGTTTTTTCAAAGTCTTTACTTTTTTTTAGGTCAGAACTAAAACATAAAGACAAGTTTGGTTAGCCCTAT